GCGCAATTCGAAAGCACTTCGCAGTGGCGACGTGGTTCTTGTCTGTGCACGGGTCCTATATGCGCGCGTGCGTCGTGTAAAAGAAGTGAGACTATATGTTACAGTACCACAAATATGTAACATTTATTAGAATAATTACTGTAACTAAATTGTTAGAAACGTGCCCAAGAAACGAGAATTTTATCAACTACAGTCACATGAGTACTAATAAGTAATAAATTGTTTAGTAACGATTATAATAGCAGGCCCTCCTACGGCCTTTATTTATTTTGCATATCGTTTCAGCGCTTTCCCGACATATCTTAACGATATGTTGTCGTGTTAAATTTATATTTCGCGGTGTTGCTTATAAGAGGCCTATCTTATTCATGATAAAAATCATTGTTTTATATTGTAGTATTTTTTATGTAATCACATGGACAATTTGACCAAACTATCGCAACTATCTTGATATCAAGTTAAATATTTAATTCAAAGCCAGCTTGTAAAATTGACAACTGATGCATTATTTGCTGACGAGAATAAACATGAGTTGCGACGTACCTGTTTACAGGGGTCAGGGCAAAACGAGGACGATCCTTCTGTTTCTTCACAGCGCATATAGATGAACATTAGCGACAGGGTATCGATATCGGGCGCGTATTCGGGAAACTTCTGATAAACGGCGATGAACAGCACCCAGGTGCATGTTCTAATGCGTTCCTTTATTCCTAGAGCTTTCCGTACGTAGCTTGGGATTCTCGAGCACGACGAGTAACTACTCAAATCGAGAGTACCTCCAGATATTTTTATAGCGCTCGGAAACACAGTGGACTTGGTGGCACCGTGTGGGAATCCGTATTTAAATTGCCGGTATTGCGTTTTCTGCATCATGTCAAACGTTCTCATCCTTGTATCTCCCGCGCTCGACCAGGCTGCGCTAACGCACGTGCATAAAAGAGCTACGCATAGGCCAAGCAATAATACTAAGACGGTCAGTGACCGCTCAGTGGAAGGTCGGCACATTAGTATTTAGTCTAACTGCCGAAACGTGTGGCAGTGTGTACTGTGCTAATGTTTCGAACGTTCTTTTTGCTCGTTTTTCATTTTTAACAATTATTAATACAATGGTTATGCAAAACATTCGAATTGTCGTTTAATATATATATATATATATATATATATATATAATATATGACTGGTCCATCACGATTAACATTTGATTATATCAGTTTAGTAGTTATTATCTGCATAATAAAATCTCTGTACCTGAATTGCATTTGGGACTTTTAAAGCAAATGCATAGGGTTAGTTACGTGATCACACTTGGCAATGACAGCTAGATAATATACCGATCGCGATACGCTAAATATAAAGGTCTGATAATAACATCAGAATTGAATAATAGATCTAATCTAGATAATAGATCAAATCTAATAATAGATCAAATCTATTATTATTCACTCCTGATAACATGATAACCTTAGCACATATGCGCACATGCGCGTATTTACGTACTTACGCACGCACACACGCGCGCACGTACGCATGCACGTACGCGATCTAGCACAAATGCGGCTTGCGACATCATTTTGTCACCATTTCACAAATCACGCGACAGGCGGTCATATGGTTGTCAAAACTAACAGCAATCACTGACGGTGGGCCGTAATGACTCAATAAGTAAATAGAACAAAATGATGATTCTCTTTATGATTATTTTTTATAATTTATAATAATCTCTTTATAATTTTTTTTAATAATTATTCGATTATTCTCTTTATAATGAAAACTATTCTGTATTATTATAATTAAATTACCATAATATTTAACTACAATCCCAGTTTAAAAACGAGTGTTCAAGCTTTTCATTCATCAAAGTATTTTACTTTTTATATTAAACAGACAGCCAGGCACGCATACATACACACACACGGGTGCGTGCGCGCGCACACACACACACACACACACACACACACACACACACACACACACACAACACCACACACACACACACTACACACACACACACACACACACACACACAGATTACATACATACATACATACATACATACATACATACGATACTACATACATCATACATACATACATACATATAGCATACATACATACATACATACATACATACATACATACAATACATACATACATACATACATAACATACATACATACATACATACATAACATACATACATACATTACATACATACATACATACATACATCAATAACAATACATACATACATACATACATACATACATACATACATACATACATACATACATACATACATCATACATACAACATACATACATACATACATACATACTACATACATACAATCATACATAACATATAACATACATACATAACATACATACATACATACTCCATACATACATCAATACAATTCATACATACATACATACATACATCACATACATACATACATACATACAACATACATACATACATACATACATACATACATACATACCATACATCATACATACTACAATACATACTACATAACATACTCATACATTCATACATACATACATACATACTACATACATACATACATACATACATACAGTACATACATACATACATACATACATTACATCATACATAATCAACATACATACATACATACATAATAACATACATACATACATACATAATACATACATACATACATACATACATACCATACATACATACATACAGTACATACATACATACATTACATACATACGATACATACATACAATACATACATGACATACTACATAACATACATACATTACATTACATACATACATCATAATACATACATACCTACATACATACATACATACATACATACATACATACATACATACATACATACATACATACATACATACATACATACATACATACATACATACATACATACATACATACATACATACATACATACATACATACATACATACATACATACATACATACATACATACATACATACATACATACATACATACATACATACATACATACATACATACATACATACATACATACATACATACATTATCCCAGCACGTCAACATGCATGCTTCGCCTCTAACTTCCCCAAGCGCTTCATCACTCCAACCATTAACGTCAGCCACTTGTTTCCGGGATTGCCGCGCCAGCTGAGATATGAATTACCAGTTAATTACAGAAACGCCATACCAAACTGGTTCCCTAGCCGCCTAAAGACTTTCCTTCGCCTTCCTGTACAGCCAAGTCACAAAAAGGTATGAACACCGGTATATCGCCTAAGTCATTTCTCTCATACGCAACACACCTAAACTATAGGGGTACTTAAAAGGAAAATTTTTTCACCATATTCATGTATTTACCATAGAGATCGATATAAATGAGCTGGTAGATATAACTGATGACGGGCATCGAATATAGCTGATTAACTAATTCATAATTAAACACGCATTTCAATATGAAATATAATATGTTTTAAACGCAATCTCAAAGTGGTACGGCCATCGAAAATAGGCGACCGGTTGGGTAACCAGTGTTGCCCAAATTCTTTTCTACACAAACTTATCTTTAAATGTGAAAGTATAGAAGAAGGAAAAAACTACCAGGTTAACTACTGTAGTACTTTCATCACCAAATAAATGTGTCAATTTGCTCCAAAATATTCGGAACCACAATATTGCATCGAATTACAATATTATTTATTGTCTGCGGGCTTCCTCTTTGACTGAATTTAATGTTGTCGAACTTTCCTAAACGAAAACGAAAAAGTCGAGTATCTAAAATAAGGCCTAAAACAAATTCCTGTAATCTACTGAGTACGTAATTTAAGTCGGGTTGCTGTCGAGTCAGTATAATTGGTGAGCGGGTGCGCGGGCTACATGCGAAGAGATCACACTCATCGTGTAGCCCTTACAATAAAATAAAGTGGGCAGCAAGGGTACACGATACCCACCCGCTGTTATGCGTTAAATACGGCAGTCCTCCTACCTCCACGTGTGGTACAATTAATCCGCCTGTTCTGCTAGCATCTATGACAAATACGACATAGGAAGAATCTTCCTATGACAAATAGTGTCATAGGAGAGCGTATATGCGTATGTCGTATTTGTCATAGATGCAAGCAGAACATGTTGAATTGATAGAGTTCTTCGTCTTTATAGACCATTTTGCTATGAAAAAAAAACTTGATCACAGTTGCCGTTCGAATTTGTTTTTTAATGATAATTAACCTGCGCTACTTCACAGTGCCATCTAAATGCAGATGCAGTATGCATTTAGGTGTCGAAAAATCCTTACACTTACACACGTAGCTCTCGTGGTATATTAAATCCTCGTTATATCGAATCTAAACGCGCTAAGCCATGTGATCGCACTGAAAACAGAAAAGTACTGAAAAGCAGAGATGACAAGCTGATAATTAATGCTATACACGGCGTGTGATTCTCGTGTCGGGGTCCCGTTACTGGTAGGTACTGGTTGTCGTCCGTATATAGAAATGCCACGGCACATGTACAAAGTCGTGGTCATTGCTCTAACAGCAATTGCTCTAGTATAGGTTCAATAAACTGTCATGGTACTCATTGCGAGCGAAGAAACCATTAGCGTCGTCGGTTTTCGTTCCTGGTTCAAGTATAGACAGACACTAATTAAATGCTACCTTGGAGGGTAAATCGTGTGACCCTCGTCGATACAAATAATTGTTGCGAGCTTGCCGGGAGTCTATGGGTCTAAGTTGGAATTGAAACCGAGGAAACGCCCTAGGAGTCAGCACCGATGCTCCCTGTCTCCACCACACACGGCCAAGCTCGATGGCACTGTCTTTCACTTAATTGACACTTAAAGAAAACACGTTCGCTAATGGTCTTTACCTATGTTAGGCTGCTCTCTTCCGAGTCGGGTCAACGACGCTATTTAAGCTATGTCGCGCAAGTAAATCTCTCATTCTTGGTGAGCACGTTGACAGTGAAGGTGGTAACGTGAACAGTGAAGGTGACGGTGGGTAACGGATACCTGTCGCATAAGGGCACGAACCACCACATAAGACTACGATCTCAAGAAAAAGTTGTGTTTCAACGTGAGCAGAGTTTAGTCGTCAGTGCCTAGCTGACAGAGTTGCCATTTCTCGGCAATCAGAACGCGTCTACATCGCGCAGTTTACTATCGTGTCAATCGAGGAAGTTTCGACGAGATCTAGTTGAAGATGGAGTTCAGATTCATCTGCGTGTTGCTGCTCGGCATCGTAAGTATAACGAAGTGCTCGTGTGGAGAGGTCTGCCTTGGGGTTCGTCGCATTCATATTGTATATGATTGTATGTTTTGTACCGCGCTATGGTATTTTCGTACATTGTATTGCTTGTTGTGTAACCCCGTCCGGAATTTCGCTCGGTTTTGTTTTATTTATACATTTTCTGTACGTGAAGTTTTTTTTAATATTGAAGTACGGTGACGATTTATTCGATCAACTCATTGCTACAATCATTTAACCAGAAAACGTAATCCACTGCCGATGCTACAATGTGCAATCGCACCCATAGCTTCAACATAGGAAATCTATTTCTAGGTAGTATTAGCAGCATCACAGTCGGATCCACACGCAAACGCGCAGGGCGGTGACTATGGCTACAATGACGACATCTACGATAGGACATTAGACTATGACGATTACGACTATGACTACCCAGGCGATTACGGCGATCAGCAAAGCCCGAAGGCCGACGACGACAGCAGCAACGAGTACACCGTAGAGGACACGGCCGATACGAAGGACGACAAGGAAGTCGCCGCCCCGCTGCGCGCCAGGTATGGACAGGGATTCAGAGATCTGCTGCACAAATTCACCGGCAGCCGCAAGCAGCGCAGGCCGCGCCCCACGGTCAACACGTACCGTATTAAGGGCCCCGTAATCGGCGACATCGACGATTACGTCGAGCGAGGCTATGGTTCGCGCCACGACGACGACGGCGGCTATTCGGACAGCGACTCCTACTCTGACGGCGGCTACTCTGACCGATCGGGAGGAGGATACGGATCCGGCGACTCGTACTCCGATGATAGCTACGGCTACGAACGAGACAGCTACCGCGACAATGATCGACACGGAACGTCCAGACGCCGCAGTTACGGCGACGACAACTACAGCAACGATGACTCGTACGGCAGAGACAATAGACAAGACGGATACGGGCACAACGATGACGGATACAGGAACAACGATGACGGATACAGGAACAACGATGACGGTTACAGGAATAACGACGACGGATACAGTAACAACGATGACGGATACAGGAACAACGATGACGGCTACAGGAACAACGATGACGGATACGGGAATGACAGATACAGGGATAACGATGTCGGATACGGCAATAACGATAGGCATCGTAACGACGGCTCCTCGGGTCCACATCAGGGACGAGTAAGCGGATCTCACGGCTACGGCGGTGGGTACGGCGGATACGGTGGTGGATACGGTGGCGGCCATGGAGGGGACGGCGGTGGTGGATATGGCGGATACGGCGGCGGCCGTGGAGGATACGGCGGCGGTGGGTATGGCGGACAAGGCGGAGGATACGGTGGTGGGTATGGCGGAGGGCATGGATCGGGCATTGGTGGTCAAGGAGTTGGAATTGGCGGAGCCGGTATCGGTCGAGGAGTTGGAATTGGCGGAGCCGGTATCGGTCGAGGAGTTGGAATTGGCGGAGCCGGTATCGGTCACGGAGGATTCGGAGGCAATGCTGGAACAAGCGGCATCGCCGGATACGGAGGAGTTGGGGGCGTGGTTGGAGCGGGTTATGGAGGAGGCGGCGCTTCTCAGGGATATGAATACAATTACGGATCCGGATACGATGACGCTGGCGGCTATAAAGGCGGCGGATACGGTTCTGGAGTCGGCAAGGCAGATCACTCCTATGGTAAAGGACTGTCCACTGTCGGCCGTAATGCAGGCAACAAATACGGTAGGTATGGAACCAATAAGCACGCTCAAGACAACAAAGACGGCTATGGAGGAGGAAACTATGGAGGCTATCATGGGGGTTCCCAAGGTGGCTACGGAAGCGGATTCTCCGATACAAGTTCCCCGTCCGGCGTGCATGGAAGACACGGCGGTGGTGGATACGGCGGCGGTGGATACGGCGGTGGTGGATACGGCGGCGGTGGATACGGCGGCGGTGGATACGGCGGCGGTGGATACGGCGGCGGTGGATACGGCGGGCACGGAGTAGCACCGCTGGGTGGAGCAGTTCTGGGGGGAAACGGCAATGACACGTACAACCAACAGGCTCCGTTCACGTACGCGCAACCTGACGTCTACACGGCCCCAAATAAATTCAAATACACGCAGGAGCCCCCTTACCCAGCTGGGCAGTACGGTCCCGAGCAACAGTTCGGCATTGGCAACGCCAGGCAGCCAGACGGTGCCTACTACGATCCCAATTCACAGCCACAAGGTGGTTTCTATGACCCTAATGGCCAGCAGCAGGGAGCCTATAACCCTGGCGCACAGCCGCAGGGAGCCTATAACCCTGGCGCACAGCCGCAGGGAGCCTATAATGCAGGGAGCCTATAACCCTGGCGCACAGCCGCAGGGAGCCTATAACCCTGGCGCACAGCCGCAGGGAGCCTATAATCCTGGCGCACAGCCGCAGGGAGCCTATAATCCTGGCGCACAGCCGCAGGGAGCCTACAACTTCAACGGACAACCGCAGGGTGGTTTCTTTAACCCTAGCGCACTGGCAGGAGGAAGAGCAGTTGGCAACAACCCTAACACCTTCAATGCTCCCGGAGCTGCTGGATATCTACCGAGTCAAACCAACCAGGTGCCGGCCTACCCACAGCAACCAAGCCCGCAGGCGCCGCTTGCCGGCACCGTGCAGGCAGCGGAATTCCTCAGCGACATCAACACCGACTGCGATTTCGACAGTAGGCAGATGAAGGTTACGATTAAAATGACGAATGGCTTCACTGGGCAAGTCTTCACGAGTGGCTACTTCGGCCAGCCAAACTGCACCAGCACCGGCTACGGATCAAACTTCATGCTACTGACTGTACCCATGGACGGCTGCGGAACCGTTGAGCGACCCGTCAGCGTAAGTTAACAATAATAATAATAATAATAATAATAATAATAATAATAATAATAATGAATAATAAATAATAGCAGTAAATCACTCGACGCGATATCTATAATCGTGAATACTTCAAACTTAACAGATGACAATTTCGTAGTAAGCAGAGTTTACCGTAACAAAATTGTTTTCTTCACTGCAGGGCGAGACGTACAATAGAAACCCTGGTTACACATACGGCAACACGCTCATCTTCATGACGCTACCGTACGGCATTCTGGGCACCCAGGACCGCGCCTACACCGTCCAGTGCCAGGTGAAGTCGGACGACTTCGAACAGTCGAGCACCAACCCACTGAACGTGAACATGCAAGTTAGCAACGGCAGGGATCCCAACGCTGGTCCGTCTAATGGACTCACTGTCGGCGAGCCAGCGACCCTTGCAGTCATCCACCGCGGCAGCCGCGGTAAGTTTCCATATAAATGACATCCGCGTTATTGATTAATCTCAGAATAGCCATTAGAACTGCAACCCTAATAGTTGAGCTTCAACAGCACCTCTCCTGACTTTCTCGGTTAAACTTGCCTGCTGACGGCCATACCCCACGGCGAGCTTAAACTAATTTAAAACACACACGATAGGCGTTTCACTACGAACAAAACGGGCATCGAAAACTGCTTCCAGGGTTACTCGCCAGATTTTTACGAAACATCGCGGTGCTATTGCACGAGATATTACGATATATTACGATTATATATTGCGAGTGCCATTGCTCGAGCGATGATCGCGTCATAGTCGTCTTGTCGTCGTCATCAGGTATCTGGGACGTGCATCTATCCAACTGCTACGCACACGACGGAATCGGACGCAGCCGCACTCCGCTGATCGGCGACGACGGATGTCCGGCCTACGAGCCCGAGTTCGTCTCTCCCATGAAGCACGGGCGTCTAGCAAGCGGCGACCTGGCACACTACTTCCACTTCCAGGCGTTCAAGTTCCCGGACAAGTCGAACGTCTACTTCCAGTGCACCGTCGACGTGTGCAAGGGAAAATGCGACATGGTGAGAGCACACGTTTGATTGTAAAAGAATTATTGCCTCGTTTGCAAAATTACCACTATTCGCGTGAAACGATTTCTCATGCGTGCGGGGGTATCGCAGTAATAGTAATTGAGGAAGTAGGAGAGAGAGAGAGAGAGAGAGCGAGAGTGTAATAAAGGAAGAAAGTAAATTATTCATGCCACCCTGTTCTTGTTACAAACTTCGCTATTGCCGCGAATTGCTATCCTGGTTCTGATAAAAAAAATTGTTTATTTCGATTAACGTATGATGCTAACGTTGTTAGCCGAGGTGGGTCTTTCAACGTGTACGTTTACATCTCTTTAGCGCCCCTGCAACAGCAGTCGTAGGAAGCGTGAGCTGAGTGAGAAGGACAGCGAGGTCAGCAACGACGAGACCGATATCAACGTCATCGATGACGTCCTCATTGAGAACATAACGGCGAAGGCGCTGCCGACCGAGAAGATGCTAATCTACAGAGGCCTCACTATCATACTGCCCGGCGAGCAGGACATCCCGCTGTGTAAGTACCGCCTAGATTTATATATATATATATATATATATGTTGTCATAATCAACCCCTGATATATATGTAGCTACTAGCTGAACACCTTGTATGATAATGGCGTAAGTCATTGCGAACAAACCTTGTGTTTTTGCGTGATTTTCCGCGATGAGAAATATGCAGTCATATGCGGTTTATTTTTCACTTGAATTAAACACTAAATAAATATACGTTGCGTATGTGTGTGTGTGTGTGCGCGTGCGTGCGTGCGTGCGTGCGTGCGTGCGTGCGTGTGTGTGTGTGTGTGTGTGTGTGTGTGTGTGTGTGCGTGCGTATTTGTAACGTCTGTAGACGTGGTACAAGCGTTTGCGTTTTCGACGTTCGCAGACTGGAGAATGAACTACAACGTCGGCGATTCGGTGTGCGTGTCGCGTGTCACACTCGGCGTCAGTGTCGGCATCGTCGCCGTCGCTCTGCTGGCTGCCATCATCAGCGCCCTACTCGGCATACACTGTCTGCGACAGAAGAGAGAGCTGGCGGAGAGAAAGCAACTCTATTACGGCACGCACGGCATCGAACCCGTTTATTCGGCTCCAGTAAGCAGCACTAAGGGTTTGTAGATTAGCGAATTCGAGAATGTCACGTAGAGTTAATTTCGTGTATATATGATATTATATAACTAACGTGAGTAATTAATAGGCAGAAGCGTCTTCATAGGAAAGCTGCGTAGGCTTGATTACCCAATCTTTAAACAGCGTAACGTTTTGAATTTAACATACCGGTTTCGCGCTTACAGTGGCGTTATAGTTTTTACACTGTTTCATGGCCTCTCACTATTTCTCGGGGAAAAAGATGCTTTGTCGACGATTATTGCCACGTTTGGTTAAGGAGTAAATTGCTACTGGATTGGATCACAAGTAGTATAATTTAATTATAGACACGTCTATTAGCAAGAGCTGAATTTCTAAAGAAAAAATGAATACCAATCATTTCTAAATTTTGATTTTGTTTAAAATGCAAATTTTTGGCCGAAATAGCTATAACACTTACTTGGAAAATCACAATCGCAAAATACTGCAAACATTCAACTAACTTTGACCGTTCTATAAATACAAAGGCATTTGTAGAGAGTTCATAATTAATTCATTAACAATAATTCTCGTCTAGTCTTTAGTTTACATAGCTATATTCTGCGCGGATGGAAACAGACACGATGACGAGATTATATTATGATGGCATATTACTTATATCGCACGTAACCATGTCTTAGCACCAAACGCACTAGCTTCCAATTGCACTGTAGATTTGCACTTTACTAATCCCGTAAACCCATAAATGTAGTTCATTTTAACCTTAATATTTTCGTCCATTTCCACCTAATTATGTCATCCTAACACCATCACAGAACCATCCCATCTTCGCACATTTACACTCATTTCATTTTCTTTTACATTTTCGTTTTCATTTTCATTTTTCATTTTTCATTTTTCATTTTCATTTTCATTTTCATTTTCATTTCCATTTTCATGTTCATTTTCATTTTCATTTTTATTTTTATTTTCATTTTCATTCTCATTCTCATTTTCATTCTCATTTTCATTTTCATTCTCATTTTCATTGTCACTCTCATTTTCATTCTTATTTTCACTTATATCTTTATTTTCATAATCATTATCACTACGGAGTAAAATCCAATCGTTCACTGTTGCCAGGCACGTGTCTAACCGCAGTTTAAACATTTACCTTTTTTATCATAACGATGCACTGCACACTGAAATCATCAGGTAATCACGTTAGTATCAACGTAACCCCTTAGCGATTGAAATAACTGTAACATAGCGCATAATTAACATCATGCTCCGCATACTAAACGCTAAGCTCCTTCACTAACCGATACTTCCCTATTTTTACAAATTCGTTATTAGCAAAACTTTAGCTCTATTTCAAGATCCATTAATCTGATATTATTCACCAATCTAACATTAATTGAGTTGCTGCTAAAATCATGTGAAAGGCGCTACTAATATCCCAATTGGCATTAGATCGATAGTTAAAATGAATGAATTATTGCAGCAGATCTAACCCTGAAATCTCTAGATGTCTAGCCCTAATAGATAACATAACGTGTTAACATTGCAATCCACCCAATACTAATATTTTTAACGCACAAGATACACCCTCGTTTTAAAATTGCACGTAAAATACTTTCATTAATAAGCTGAATCAATTAACTAATATTCCTAACACGGTATTATTACTACGGTAGAAGAAAATTATAGCACATGTTTTAGTGATATGAGTGTACGATATCCTACATCATCCATCAATAGCTTGCACAGATACTCATATGAGTTAACCTATTAATACAAACAAAACTATCTAACACTCTTCTCATGTCTCAAATCATCGACTTTAATAATACTTGCATTAACATCTCTTTCTAACGCCGTATCTGCATTCTAACACTAGCCTCAACTATAATACTTACACTAAAGTATCGGAATGAGTAAACCTGGAGTTATCATATATCCTGTTAAATGATATTCACTTACATTGAAAAACCATATACCTTCATTTCTATGCAGAATTAACGAATAAAGCTTAACAAACCCTCGATGAATACCAAAGTAATATTTTAACCAACTTTCTATTAACGATAGTTAGTGATAAATGCTTGAATATCGCAGTCATTAGATTAGAAATCTTTTAAACTGCTGTTAAAAAATACGTTTCATATAAGTTATCATTACTCAGTGTAATAAACTCGTGCAACGCATCATTCTAACATCAATCATCATATCTCATAATTATCATCGTCATCGTCATCGTCATCGTCATCGTCATCGCCATCGCCATCGTCATCGCCATCGCCATCGCCATTGCGCAATTCATTGCATCGTTCATTTATTTCACTAGATGTGTAAGTGTGCTATTGCTGCCAAGAGCAAAGTTGGTTGCACAGTACACAGATATTGTCTATGATGCTGGAATTATAACATTCATTGCGTAATATTTCAATGCTGCTGTATGTCAAGTAAATCTTGACAATTAGGTATATTCTAGACGATAATTTACCTAAATTGTGATCTATTCTAGTATTTCTAAAAAACAGGGATAAGCTGCTTGTTTTATTGTATTTCCAGAATATATTATAGTACTCCAGTGCTCCAGTGCAATAGTAAATGACTAGGTCTCTATGTAACACGGTTTTTAACTCGGTACATCGCGCGATTTGGCTATATTTATTTAAATAGAATGTTCTAGATGCGCAAGTTTCAATTTCAAATACATATTTGGATTAAAACAGATTCAAAATAATCACATAATCTACGATAAAAAATATGATGCCACGTCTGACATTTTGGTTACATGACAGACCAGTTGAATTTCAATATATATATATATATATATATATATATATATATATATATATATATATATATATATATATATATGTTGTCATAATCAACCCCTGATATATATGTAGCTACTAGCTGAACACCTTGTATGATAATGGCGTAAGTCATTTATATATATATATATGACTATTCGACATACAAGGTACCATGGTATATATATGTCAGATAGTGATACACTCAGGCTGAATGTCATATGCGTCGATTAGCGTTATAGCCGATTACAGATCATGTTACAATAGTTCAGGTACAGCTTTCCGTCCGCATAACACATACTGCGCAGGAGAACTAATTATACAACTTTGTCACGTGTTGTAGTTTTTATCAATTCTTAATTGAGCTCTGTGAGCTTAATTGAGCATTAATTAAGCTCCACGCTGCGCGTACAACAAGAGTTCCTATCGTATTGTCCTTATAGATCCGCTATAGATCAATGTTTATTTCATCGTGTACTGGATAGCACCAGACGTCTCGACATTACTAGTGACCAGTAGTCATCGCAACACACTGATATTATATGAAATTATGTATATATATACTGTTATATATATATATATCATTATTGCATGTATGTATCTTTTATCATTTTTCGTCATCCTCATTTTTTATGTTATATAGCGAATTAAAACGTATAAAATAATTGTTTTTATTTGCACATCTGAAGCTTGCTCAAACAAGCCGATGGAATCATTTGTATAGAATAACAATAAATTCATTAACTATATATGTATATGTCAAAAAACTCTTTTTGTTCATATTTGCGTGTTAACATTGTACATGTTCGCCACACGACGAAGAGTCAATACATGGAATGATCTAACACACAGAAGTCACGAAATCGATATAGTAGAGAGATCTATTCACTACTCTGTGTTTCTCCAAACATTTAACTACAATACTCAATAATTAGTACAAGCCGTAAGCTGTGAATAAAGTCATGAAAGTCAATGATAAATATGAATAAAAATAATATAAATATATAGAGATCTAAATAATCATATTATATAGCATGATTAAGAGATATATGTGTGTGTGTGTGTGTGTGCGTGCGTGCGTGCGTGCGTGCGTGCGTGCGCGTGTGTGTGTGCGTGTGTGCGTGTGTGTGTGCGTGTGTGCGCGTGCGTGTGTATGTGTGTACGTGAGTATAAGTATACGTATACGCATATGTATATATGTATATATATACTGTTAGGCAGCCGGGATGTAATTGCGTATCAACACGTCGTCACATGCTGACATCTAACGGACGAGGAAGAGAGGATGAAATATGTGCATGTCATAAGATGTTTCGCATGCTCGCCCACTTCTTCTCTAACATATTCTTTGTAATCCCATGGTTCACGTCGTGTTATCTTGAAATTGTTTTTTCCCGTTAACAAAAAAGCATCATAAAACGTG